AATGATTCAAACTTCATAATTACATATACCCATAACGCCATCAAGCCTAAATGAATAGCAGTTCTGCGCTATAACCGCGTCCATAGAGCTATGACAAGTTTTTTAAATAGTTTTTCCTTACTGAGAGGAGGAAGATGGAGGGTTTTTGTTTAGATAAAGGGAATATCGAAACTCGTAGTCTTTGGGGGGGGGGGGAACTTCTCAGAGAGAAAGAGGGGTGTCATTATTACAGGGTCTATGGTACTTTTCAAAGCGCGTGATTTCCAGACTTAATATTGCTGATAGTGTGATGTCGAGTGTAATTTGGTGTTAATAAGTACGAGTAAATTTTTCAAAGACAACAAAATTGTACGACTCCGTAGTGGGGCGAGTGCGATTTGTAGTCTTTGAAAATTACACCAAATTGCACTCTAAATCATGTTTTAATAATTTACATGAAAAAACATTACAGAAAGGCTAGACAGACATAATTTTGAAAGCGTTGGTAATTTGTATTCGTATTTGTATTTTTGCATTTGTTATTTGCACTCGTGTTATAACTTTGCACTCGCGCTATATGAGAATGCACTCATTTTCAGCCAATCAGAAGTACGTTATTTCTTCTTTACATTATTAATGATGCATTTGCTCTCTTCTGCTGAGCCCTAGGTTCATGGTTAGCCGTCGTAAGGGAACTGTCAACAAGATCGTGAACATCACCTGGCAGACCGATTGTCATGCGAATAATTACATTCAAATAAAAATTCGGTTTACAAATAAAACATTGCAAATCCGGTAAATGTGTGTTTATTTAACTCCATGTCACAACCAGCTGATGTGATTAAAATTTCTCCTCACCCTTGTACCTTGTAATCTGTTGAAATTGTTTGAAGAAGTTGGATTTATGATCACCCATTCGTTGCATGTGGTCCTAAGTTTGGAGGTTAGAAGTAATCTGACGCAGTTTTATCGTTTCAAATCAAACCACATATCAAACAAAAACCTGGTATCTTTGATACTTCATTACAGCGGTGGTAAAAATCAACATTATTACAATGAAGGCATTTATAAACAGGAAGACTTAGTGTCCTCTGTTTGCTAATAAGTGTCCCCGACGAGAGAGGTGTCAAATTAATAATTTGCGTATTCGAGAATCAGAACTAAATATTTTGCGCAGTACGGTAGATTTACTCATTCTTGTTTCTGACGGTGATTATCGAAGATACGTTTGAGTAAATCGACTGTTTTACACATGTCTCCGAGTGTTGCTCTCCACAAGGCTGAGAAGAATGACTCAGACGAATGTACAGAGATTTCTAGGAATGACGATCACAGGAAGCAAATCCTTACGTCTTACTAAGATTGTCTACAGTTTTATGATCATATCAGAACATGCAAGATTTATGGAGCACACGAATTTTGCACTGGGTAATGTATGTTTCAGTAGTTTGTCAGCTTGGACTGTTTTGCGACAGGAAAATCGGCGGCGATAAATGATTATTCAAGTGTGCCACATCGCTTCAATATTTTTTGAACAGGGACTGCGCAGCATGTACTAAACTTGCGTTTCGTGGATTCACAAAGCTGATCTGAGATTTTCTAGGTAAACCTATTCTCTGATTACTAAAGACAGCTTGTTAACAAGACAAGCAAACTGTCTTGTAAATGTCTGCCAGTGCTAACAAGGTTCAAATGATAGTCACATGACATTTTTACTAAAGACAACTGAAGATTGACTTACTCGTTCTTTTCTTTTTATCACGTTTCCCCCTGCGAATCTGCATCCAGGGGAAAACACAGATGTTTTGACATTGCGCTTGGCTCGGTGATGAAGATCTGGCATGTTCGGCGGTTTCCGCTCTGACTGCCAAAGGTATGTCTTTTCTGTTCTCATTGTATACTGGTAGGTTAGACGAATACGCTTTCATTCTGTCGGGGTGCGTATCATCCGTCCAGCGGCCTAGAAGTCGATTTATTGAATGCGAAAGTGAAGAACCACGTTTTTCCATGTTTTAGGCGAAAATTGTACGATTTAATCGAGGTTTCACTTGAATTACCCCTCAATTAGGTAAAGAATCGCACTTTAATTGTTCTGTCCGTCAAACGGACGACACAGTCAAGATGGCTGTTCAACCTGATAAAGGGAATGATTGACATTGTACTTAGGAAAAGGCTATAATCCGTTTAATCCTTTCATACTTGAAGGTGATCGACATAGAATTTCTCCTAACAATTTTCAAACAGAACGGCCTATCTATCATGAATACAAACTACACAGAGGACAAAAAAGCCATGAATTTGTGACTAGTGCGTTCCGAGATAACTTGTTGATGACTTCAGCGTATTTCCAGCTCTTTATGCTATCATTCGCTGTTTCTGTGTGTTGTACAAAGAGAAAATTTTTTAAATTTTGCGACACGTGTAATTAGTGAGAAAATAAGCGTGTGTGAGTTGTAGGCTCATTTACATCCTGCGCGACCGAACAACAGTGCGCGATGAATCGGGGAGGGGGGGAGGGGGAGAAGGGAGCGTAAAATTTTATCTGAAATGAGCCTCTCAAACTCGTCGTTCATGATTCAAATTGCTGTTGATCTAGAATAATATTTTCGAAGCATATCACAAGCAAGGTACACCTCAGATTCCTTGAGGGTCACGACTAATGTAATTTTAAAACATTTGTAGCTAAATGTTTATCTTTTACAACGATTAGCCACAAGATAAACAAGGAAATGAACAAACAAAACAACATGACACGCAAAGAAAGAAGGATACAATCCCCTTCCATTATATGCCAGTTTTACTTTCTTCTGAGGTAAAATCTGTTTACAAGGCAGTTGATTAATGCGATCCAACTACGCTGTCTGAATGGCAAAAAGTCAGCAAAGACTGACTGAAAATTTGTGTCTTGACTGGACGAAGAGTACGTTTAGCAATTCAATACCAAAAAAATGTTAGGGACATGTTTTCATTTAAAATTTACATATAACTATGCATGCATAACCTATGGTTAAAACAGAAATTACAGAATAGTAAGTAGTATAGTGTCAGGTCTGTTGTTTTACAATTAAACTCAGCGAGACACGTTAATGCATTTTAAATCAATGGCTGTTTTAAAATTCTCTAAATTTCGGAAATTTTCAAAATTTTTAATTTCTCTTTACAATATCATCCTTAAATCCAACATTAAGTTCACGAGAAAAAAGGGAAATGATCACTAAAATACGTTTATCGTTAATAAAAAATTCTCCATGTGAGCACCATGGGAAAGGTTCAGAGAACATTATGGAGAATATGCATACTGATGTTAGTGTGTAAAGGTTAAAAGTGAGAAAAAGTCCTTATTATGGCAGACGTATAGGAAACCAAAACCACTTTATAAGTTACCAAGTTCCTTCTTTATCTTGGTATAATTATCCTTGATATTGCAAAGAAATTAAAACACTCCCTTTATTTCTTCAACCGATCTGTTATTAACCTGAGGCCGAGCGCAGAGTTGCACGTGGGTTTTCAATCGCCTTCCGTGGCTGGGATTCCGCTTTGCTAATTGGTAATATCTGCTCACAGTCCTTTTGGAAAATTTAAGATAATTATTATAAGAAATCATCTAAAATCTAAAGCCCGTCGAGTTTTCGAGTTACCAAATCATGCTTGCCCAGAGTAAACCATTATCCACTTTGTCAATTTCATTCAGTACCAGTCCGTACAGTAGCGGCCATTTACACATACTCATTAACTATTACACAGTTGCTTTAACAACAGTCACGAGTTTCAGTCATCAGTACAGCTCTTTATTCAACTCGTGAGACAAACTCTTGACAATAGTAAACAAAAGAAACGAGCTTGAATTTGAATGAAACCATTTTTTGCATGTTCGACTTAAAGTGTCGAAAGACTCGTCAGTAAAGTCACATCTTTTTTCTTTTTTTTTTTTACAGAAAATTTTATTACAACGTTAAACCCCTCCAGGCTGAAAAGGTTTTTATGAACACACTTCCAATGAGAATTGCCTGTTGGGGTTTCAGTAAATGTTCCATGAGCGGCTGCCGATGGCATTATACGGGGCTGTGGCTTAAGGCGAAACTTTGTCACGAGAGCTTGCTCGCAATGCAAGCTGAACAGGCGGCGGTAGGAGGTATTTTTTTTAGGCGGCGGTAAAACACTGGTAACCTGCCCTCAACTGTGGGCCGATACAAGAGAAAGGCTATAATCCGTATAACATATCACATCGCTAACACAGCATTTAAGTTTAACACCAATTTGAATATATGCTGTCCTGTCGAGAGCCCATGAATATTATAGTGGGTCACAAGTTTGACTGCACAATTGTCTTCCTCAAACAAATACACCGGGGGAGGGTCTGTTTATTGTGCTAGACTGAGTGCACAGGTGTCTGTTGCAGGACGCAAAATCAGATTAAGGGAGGCGAGAAATATTCAAAAGACAAAGACAGTAAACGGATGCGTGCAGGTGGGATGAAAATGCTGGTTCTATTAGGATTGACGGTCTCACAAATGATTGATTTTGATTCACAGCAGAATTGTCAGACTGGTAAGGTTCAAATGCAGTCATGGCTGGCAGAACTATCTTTTGCTTATTGTGTGTTGTACTTTTCTGGTGGATTTACTCAAAGATTTCTGTCACAGAGTTTCCTTTCCATTGGCAAACAATTCGGGAGATAGGTTCTAAATTTGATAAACCAGAATTCGCACATTCCGTCGGGAAGGCTCTCGGTTGCCAAGCCTCAGGTCACAAGACTCCTGAGTTGACGTAAACCTCAGAAAATGCACGTGCTCTCAGTTCCAAATTTGGAACAAGGTTCCTAAATGACCAATGAGACATTCTCTGGTGCGCGTGCAAAGTCATCGCTACTGAACTTCGGCGGGAAAGTTCAGAGTGCGCGATGTTAAGGTTTATAACTACCTCAAGATCCTGAACAACCGTCAATAACGCTGAACACCTTCAAAAACACAATTAATCATCAGAATTTCTCCTCGATACAGCAAAGCTTTGAGGATTCAGTGATGGACTTGTTCGTCCGAATTTTGAGCGACTATGATGCCGTAAATGCAGCCAGACGTCTTTTATACGAGGTGTATATTAGTGAGATGGGCTGGGATTTTCGTAGTGATAGTCCGACAGGTTTTCGTATCGATAAAGACGACCAAAACAAACCTATCCTTTGCGATACTTTTGACGACTCATCTGTTTGGTTTGGAGCGTACAAAGGAGATAGCCTGATCGGAGTTACCCGAGCAGTCCAACGGAACAACTCTTTAGGAAAGCTTGACCTTGAACTGTACCCAGCCAGTCAACTACCGTCCATGAAGAGAATTCTCCGCCCAAAGGCCAACCAACCGTTAGTGGAAGTGCAACGAGGGGCGGTAGCCAAGGACTACAGAAACACACAACCAAGCATAATCCAGCTGCTTCTTCATTCCGCTTTTAGCTACGCACTCGAGAAAGGACTGAATGTGGTTTGCCCAACAGTTTTCCCTGTGTTAGAGACATTATTTAGCCGAGCTGGGATGCGGTTAGTGGAGAAAAAGTTTACATACGGAGAGGGCTGTGATGAATGGCCCACCTACATTTTCTACTGCTCCTCAGAAGACATGGCCCAAGTTGTAAACAAACTGAAGACAGCCGCAAGAAAAAGAAAAGCGAGCGTTTCACAAGAAAGAGGGCACGCCAAGCGGGGAAGGTTTCTTGTAGTGTAAATGTTTGTTTCAAAAATGACGATCGGTTAAAAGGTTATGTTATGATTTTCAATCAATAACAAAGATGTCGTGTGTAAATCGTTGAAAAAAAGTTAGTTTCGAACAGGAGTGATGAGCTCCTGGTTTTGAACCAATGGGTTTAATTTAAAACCAAAATATCACCAAGAAATTTGAAAGGGAGGTGACTAGTATTTTAAGAATTTATTTTTTGTACTTGGTTATAAGTGTCAATTCAGTGCATAAGTTGTTGTAAACTATATAAATGACTTGGAAAAATGTCGTATGGGAGATTTTTTGCGTGCGGTAACAAGCTTCTCTCCCCTACGATGGAACCCGATCTAACAATAGTTATGACTCTGGTGAAAACTAGATTTCTTAAAAAAAAATTATTTGCCATGGCATCGAGTGATTAGGACTCGCTAATTTTTCCGGAAAGTTCCTTGGAAACCTTTTTGATGACAACGAACACCACACAAATTTTTGTCGCTTTTATCCACTTAACCCTTCTTTTCGTTCGGGGCAATCTGATAGAATGAAAAAAAAACCCTCATCTGAACACGAATTGCAAATATATCGGATCTTTTCTATTACTGATTCTTTTTCTGACATGATGGATCCTGCTGCATGACAACACGTTTGTGGACGTTGCTTCTAAAACTTATGTAGTCACTGACCATTTAAACGATTTAAAATACAAAAATGGATCAAACGAACTGAAACATTATCCACTCTTACCCAATCTTATCACTTTTTGTGATATTTCAATTTAGGCCGAAATCATGGGCGGAGGGAGAGTAGATGGAAGGTATAGGTGTTGTTACGAAATTAGTGATTTGACGTGTTTGATGCAAAGATCAAAAATGAAATGAGTGAAAAGGAAGTCGACAGATAGTTGAAAAAAACAAACCGTTTTGGTAAAACACTGAGTGCAATCAAGAGGTTATAAACTATTTATAATGTCTTGCTGTTATTTTGATTCAGTCTCGGCATCTCCATTCACCAAACCACAGTAGCACGTTGACTCACTGATTTCCTCAAATTTATAAAACTTTTTGACTTCATTGCAAGATAAAAAGTTCGCCAACACGTTTTTAGCGACCATTCATAGGGCGCATATTAAATTTTGGAAGTACAATAATCCGTTATTAGATGACCCATTCACTTTGATGTCTATTTTTTTTTCCAATGGAATGTCGTCACGCGAACAAGAATTATGGATAGGTAGCTGGGTCTGTTCTCCACTGAGAAGTTTATTTTCCTACCATCAGGGCCTCAAGTTCTCTTTATTCACGAAATAAGCTTTGTCATCCAGCAAAATGTCGGTTCATTTCTAAAAATTTCCGGAAAGGAAACGGATAAATTTCCACTTCCTGAAGTATGCAGGCTTACTTTAAATGCTCTAAATTTTCATAGCAGTATCCTATTTCCCTTGAAGATATTTGTACCTTTTCCGTCCACCACAAAAATCTGTTTTTTTAAGGTATAGACCGACAAAAGGAAATATGTAGAAAAATAGTAATCTGCCCTTTTTGTATCTGAACAAGAGAGTAAACTGGATAAGCCAGAACTAAAAGTCGATTAGGAAATACTTAGCCGGTTTTACGGAAATGAGGTATTTATAGAGAGTAAAAATAACATGTTTGGAATAGCCATTTTATTCACCTGTGTGAAGATTGAAAACATTAAGGAACTTTAGTAGAGGTTAGTTGGTCAAACAACTTTTGATTTGTTGGCACATGAAATCTTTTATGCTTAAAATTGTCGTACATTTTTTTTAAGTTTAAAAGTTTCACATTAGAGTCCGTTCTACCTAGGACTATATTTAACACTTCAAAGGCATTGGTTAATTTATAAATGCTATAGAGACAATGATTGAATGATTTCAATAAGAACTCTTAGACTTTGTGCGCATATTCTCACCAGTTTGAAACTTGTCGAGGTTGGAAACTAGTGTAAACCACCTGCGTGGCACAGCTGACGATTTGAACGTGGTTTTTTGTTCAAGAATTCATTTGTTGTTCAGGATCATCGAAGCTTAAGTTAATTTCATTTGTGACACTATCTAAATTATGTTGAATACATGCCTCTTTTAGTTTTCCCTAAGTCCCTGAACTGTGCCTGGCCGCTGTTGTGTTTTTATTCATTAATTAAGCGACTCTTTACATGAATAAAACAATAAATGACTTCAAAACACTTCGAAAACAAGAGTAACACTTTATATAAACGTATGGATGAAACTTCAAAGGAATTATGAACACAAATCGCAGCACATTTGATTTAAGGGGTCAGTATACCATTTGACAGGCGCACGCTGAGCGGGACATAGATCGATTAACAACATGTCCTATGTGATGGAGTGATGCGTAATTTATTAAGCTCTAATGAGACGAAATCATAGAGCGATTAAAGCGATGGCGACCGTTTAGTGCATTTCCGGTGGGACTAAATCTCTGCGTTTTCCAAGCTTGGTTGACTTCGCACAATGCGAATGTTTCCAAAGTTTTCTTGTGGTGAAGACTCACGCGATAAGTAAATAGCCAACCCATTCCATGATCTCAACAAAGTTGTTTTTAATAAACGAGCTCCGTGTTTCAGTCAGGTTTGATGAATGGCTGCGTGGCCAAAACAAAAGACCGACGGGAATTGTCCCCGCTGCGGCCTGTATGAAGTTCTTCCCACCTCCGGCGCCGCAGTGTCCGTGCCTTGAATGCACCCAGGGTACTGTTTGAAAACAGAGAAAACCATAACAGATTACAAAAGGGTCCAGATGCCTTTGTCGAGCTCTGGGTATCGACTCACGGATTGGAATTGCCAGTATTATCTAACCGAAAAAAACTAAAAGAAAGTGATCACAAAAACAGCTTCGGTACATCCTTTGTTGTCATTTTTTATCTGTATTACGCGAAATAAAAAACAGGTTTTTTTTCTTCATCGATGTTAAGCTTTCCCCTATCCAGGGTTGTTTGAAGCTTAGACTTACTATGATTTTCACCTGCAAAGCAGAATTATTATCACTAACACATCCTTTTATTTTTAATCGAAAACCTTCAGTAATTTTCTCAAAGTAGTTCATTTCGATGGATGATGCTCATTGGCTATTTTTTAAATTTTTTTCTACCGCAAGACCATGTCAGTTTGTCGGCGCTACACGCGCTCGACTTTAGTCTCCTTTCTCATTAGTTTTCACACATGATTAACGGCTATTCGCACTATTTCCAGGACATCTAGTCTCCTTAGACGACTAAAATTACCGTCACACTTCTATGGAGTCTCAGAGGAAACGCTCCGTCTTCCCTAAAGCGTTCTTGCTCCTGTCAAAAACTGGAAATTGTTCTGACATCTTACAAGTTTCCAAGCGTCTTTTTTTTGCTTATCATGCAGCCTTTCATGACAGTCGCCCGTGAAAAAAAGTGAATACGTAAATAAATTTGGCTCTCGTTGTCCAAATTAGCACTGAATTTGTTCAGGAGTTCGATTAATTTATGTTATAAACAAGTTAGATTGAGCGCTCATTGAATTAAGGTGTCACTTGAAAATGAACATGCAAGCAAGTTTATTGATTTATGAATTACGCGCCAGGTTCGGAGTAAATGTCGCGGTCTTCTTTCTTCGATCGCAAGTTAATAAAGGTGCTGTTTGAATAGCTGAACTGAGTTTAGATCCATATCTCCTTTTAATAACACTCATTAATTATAACTTTGGACCAAAAGAAAACTTTTTTTGTTGTGTTTTGCAGCTTTCATTCGCACGCGTCATTTCAGAGCATGCATTTTTTGGTTTCCGATTGTGGGTTAGTGGGGATCTTTTATCATCCATACACACGACTCTTGTTAACAACCAGCTGTGACAACTGGAACCTCTCTAAGAAACGCAACGATTAGTTACAGATATTTTAAGCCTTTCTGTCCTGTACAAAAATGTTTATTTCCCTATAACTGTCTTTTTTAGGGGGGTTGTAAGATTGGGAAGCTGCATAAACAATGCATTGAAGATGTTCCTCTCTCTCATTGAGTAGCACCATGAATTGCCAAAAATGCAGATGATATGCCATGTTTTTTGAAATTATGATGTGCTAAAAATTTACCTTTCTTGTCAGACCTTGTGTGCTCAGCGAGGCCACCCGTCCGAAATTTTTGCGAAACGAGAATCCACATTTATTGCGATATAAATGAGATAAGAAATTTGTTATAATAAATTTCATTAAACTCGAATATTCCGTTTTTGTTTTCCACGCCTTTATAATTTATCTACGAAGAGATTATATGAAGGCTTTTAATTAAATTTATCACCCATTTGTGTCAACTCTTTCGGTCTGTTGCACGCGCAGCATCGACGGCGCCAGCAGTTTACCAAGTCAGCATAGCGATGACGTCACATATTTGTTAAGGAGCCAATCATGTAATTAATCTGGCTATCTAATTACAGCACTAAATTATGACCACAGCGAGAGCGAATATTGCTCTCGCCAGACTGGTGCCCTAGTCATTCCTATCTTGAGTTACTCGTTTGAGCACAACGGCGCGAGCGTACTATGGACTGCTTTTACCAAGCAAATCAGAGAGTTCGACCACCTCCTTACTTCAACACTTCACCGGTTATGTATGGATATGGTGTTCCTTCTTACTATTCCCCGCCGTTTTTCCCGCTAAATCGTAACTCTCAGGTCCACAGGCCGCCGGTAATATCTACAAGCCCTCCTCTAAGCATTCCAAACCCAATGACAAACTCAGAAAGCAGTACCAGTCCTGTTTCGGTCGGCTCTCAAACTCCTCCAGAATCACCCAGCGAAACTTCTACAGACACGCACGAATCCACTGAACATAACGATGATGTTTGCCAATCAGCCAAAGATGCCAGCGAATCAGAAGACAAAACAGGTGAGCAAACGGAAGATTTAGTTGTTAAAAAGACGATGAGTCAAGTTCAGCCGTCATCTAAGTAGATAAGTTTCAGGAAACGTTTAATTGTATACTTGAAGTTTGAACGAATTTGATAGTGCAATCGCTTCAATTACTTACGGGTCAACTTGAATGGAAAATAGAATAAATCAAAGGTGAAATAATATTAAAACCCTTGGCATCAGTCTTGCATGCAAATCAAAAGGTAACTCTGATATTTAAATTCATTATATTTAAGTTCAGTATTACAATCTATTTGAATTAAACAATTTTTCTTCATATGCGAGAACATGTTTTCATGGAATTCAACTTTGTTCAAATATTTAGACGGTGAAGACGAGAGAGATGTACCCTGGCATTATAAACAACCTTTCAAGCATCGCCGACGAGTGGCCTACAAGAGAAACCAAATTCTGGAATTAGAAAAAGAATTTCACTTCACGAGGTATCTTACGAAAGAGAGACGTTCAGAAATGGCCGCGATGTTGCAGCTCTCTGAACGACAAATCAAAATTTGGTTCCAAAATCGGCGTATGAAATGGAAAAAGGACAACAAACCCGTGATTCCTACAAGTAGAGGAATGCGGCGAGGATGTACAAGATAGGCGAGATACACCCGTTCAGAGATAATCAATTATAATTTGTTGTAATCCTCTTTTTAGCAGACTTGAAGGTGTATAAAAATTTTCTCTTCCTTTGCGTCGGACGAATGGAGCGTTAGACAGCCATCGAAGTGTTACAAATTACGGCGAAAGGTTTATTCCGCTACATTTGCAATTTTAACTCTTTCTTTGTCTGCGCATAACATAACCTCGACTTTCGTCACAAGTTCTTTACGATCAAACAAGCACTGAAAGATTGCGAAGTTGTAAATAATTGTAAAACATGAAAACTCGTTCAGGAATTGAGTCAGACAGCAACGGGTTACAAATGAGGTGTTAAGCCGATTCGTCTAAACAGAGACACGAAGGCACTTCCACTGCGTCACTTTGAACGTTTTGTTTCTCGCCAACGAACTTCTCCACTTTACGAATTTTCAAAGAATATTCAGCCTAGTTTACGCTTCTTACTTACTTGTTTTTATCTTTACTCAATATCAATCTCGTTCGTCGTTTTATCGAATGCCGCTGTGCGAGGCGGCATTTTAATCAAAGAAATTTGTGTTAAATTTCCTATGCACTTCTCTCTAGTAGGATTAAAATCCCCGGTGGTTAAAAACGCTGTTCAAACGCAAAACTCCATTTATCGAGATTTCTTTCACTTGTAAGTATATATTTAAAAGGTTTTGTGAAAAAGCGTTTTCATTGTCACAATAAATTTATAGTTACCAAAGTCTGGACTCAGTAGTATATTTTACTTGCACCGCCGAGTTTGTGCTAAACTGTACTCGAGTGTAACAATGATTAGAACTTCCTGTTTGCAAGGCGTTCTTTAAACTGGGCAAATATAAACGTGGTAATGATGAAATTCACTCTCTTGCTGAGCGCCTTATGGCCATCTCTTTGTACCTAGACGGCAAATTACAATAGACTCTTCCGCTCTTAGTACATGGCAAAAAGTGCCTCTACACGAAAATGGTTTCTCTTTTGTCACAAAGACAACTGCGTAAGTATGACTTAAGTCTGTTAAGATAATGAATTTATTTCATCAGTAAGGGAATCAAAAATCATCTCCTTGACTACATTTTTTCAAATAAATAACTGTGGAAAAGACATTCGAGCGTTTGTTCGTGATTATCATTAGCGGTGTTTTGATGAAGCCATGTTCAAGGGTCACTGAGTGGTAAAGACATTGTGAAGTTATATGTTTGATTAAGCAAATTATTTAATAAAAACAATTAATACAACGACACATTCATGCCTGCGAGGCAAAACGAGAAATTTGCATGATTAAGATCGATAGAGATCAAGGGTTTTTCTTTAAACAAACTTCCGACAATAAGAGCCACAATTCTTCTTCGCCACCAAGTTGGAGGGTTTGTGTTTTATCATCAACCAACTGCTATTTATTTTTGCAAGATATTTATAACTTCAGCCGCCTTTTTACCATTATTTCTGAAGCAAAACAACCTTTTGTTCTTTGATAAATAACATCTGTATAGTTTGATTGTTTTAGACCAAGCAGGTATATTCTTTGTTTAGTAAATCGCGTCAGCCTTTAGTGAAAACGACAGCATACTTTCGTTCAAAACAAAAATCATTTCACTCCACCACAAATTACAAGTGACACTTTGAATATCATATTTTGATAGATAGAGTAACGCTGTATTATTTCCTATCCGAAATCTTTAGAGAATGGGCTACTCGTCGTTCGTAGGCAAGTATTCTAAAAGTGGTATTTGAAACGTGCGCTTGAGGTATAATCAATGCCTCCATTGTTTTCTTTCATCTAACAGAGCCGATCAAAATCTCGGTTCAGCTGTGCAGAGTTTTGTATTAAAAAGTCTTAATTCAATTGTTTCTTAGTTCGAGAGAAAAACTTTTTTTTTGCTGAGTCGATAATGACCGAATTTTGGATTATCCACCGCTTTCCATGTTCTTTTAGACGGTTTGACTAACAGCAATCATTCGCTTATTAAACACCTCAGACCTATAAGATTCCTAAGAATGTGTCAACGAGTGAATCGATTTATATAGTTTCCCCTCAATTCCTACTGTGCAAAAAAACTATACATCAAATGAGAATACAACTATATGAAATTTTGTCTGTGTTTTGTGAAGAGCCTATTGTAAAGTTCTCTTTCATGCATGGGGATGCTTCGTGTACAATGTTTTGTTTTCCAGATGCGGTAACATTCAACGGCAGTTCTAACTCAGTAGCTCCCGCATAACAGAAAAGTCAGTTTCTTTGCTATTGAAACCGATTAGCAGCTCCTTTAACAAGCGTAATTGCCCGTAAACAAAATCTCTACCGAGGTGTGAAAAATGTCAGCCTCGCTAAAGAGGTTGATCTCTAACAGCAGACATAATCCCGAGTTCATTTGCCGATTCGTACACCGAATGTCCTTTCTGTGGTTGAATATGTTAGTAACTGTAACATTTGAGAGTTTTTTCGGCTAAAGGTAAATTTTCCCGAGCACCTTTGACTAATACAATTAAGGATTTTTTTTTTCTCGATCGGGACATTTTCCCCAGGGTATCAGTGTACATAGTTGTCCTCGATTTCCGATTTCATATAACAGCGTAAAAACCTTCAGTGCATCCAAACTGATGAGTTAAATGTTACAACCTTCTACAACTCAGTAAAAGCAGCAAAACCTATCGTACTTCCAACAGAGTAGAGAAAATCTTCACAACTGAACAAACAAGGTGAATACGGAGTACGCATCAACAATTTGCTTACAGCATTCGCATTTGTTCGCGAAAAGATCGCCCTGTGTACCGCTGCGAAATGTTTAATTATTTTTCACACTTTGGCCGTGTAATCTCTAATTTACTTTCATTGCACTGAAGAGGAAGACATGACATTAAATAAACTATTTTAATCAGTTCCGTGGGTTTCTCATTCCCTGTTGCAGACTGAAATGGCGGCCAGTTCTTTCTCGGTGTGATTTCACGAACGATTGCGTTCTAAATGGTACACCGTCAAACCGCAATCATGCAGCAGATTGTTCTAAGCATTAAAATATAGCAGTATTCAGGATTAAATAATTAAGCTTAATTTGAGTTATAAAAAAAAAAGAGGTCTGTGCAGGTGTGATAAAATATTCTCTACCCGATCAAAAATCAATCACTCGCAAGAAAAAAAACCTTTGGGATGGCACGCCCAGTATGACAGTCGAATGTCGAAGGATTAACAACCAAAGGAGTTTTGGAAGTTATGAGTGATACCGCTAACACTTATATTACAGGCAACCAAATCGATGCCAGTTTTACCTTTGATAACTATAAAGTAATGTTACCTTGATAGCTTTTTCCTCTTTTCACATTATAGAGTTTCGTTATTAAATTGTCTTCACCAAGGGAAGATGAGAAAAAGCTGTGAATACACCAACCGCATGCGAAAATAGCGAGGGGTTGTGCTGTATCACGTACCAAGATGCGAAGAAATACTCGTATAAGTTTCACTTCCTACTGCGTGTTTTATTCATAGGTTTAACCCTTAAAGGGCGATTTAAAGTACTTTGAAGTCAAAACCATATTTTACGTCGACTAAACGTCACAGTTTTTGACCCAGAGACAAATACTTCACATTGAGAACTGACTGTGTTGCGCCTGACTGTCAATCCATTATTAAATTTCATAAATCGGTTTTTTATATCACGAAATGGATTTACCTCAAAAACGGAAAGATTTGTGCAAATTTTCCCTTTGAATATTTGCAATCCTATATTGGACCTTAAGGTAAACCATGTAGTGCTGTAATAAACAACCACCGCAGCATGATTAGCCATGCCTAAAAGTTTTCGCCTCTTGATTTCCAAAGTCTTTGTACTATTGAAATTGTACCCAAAAAATAGGAATCGCAGTAGTATCGATGTTTTTAAACTTTTAAAAATGTTTTAGATTTATTTTTGCAACAATATTTTCAATCTTTTTTTAAAAATTTTTTTTCGACATAGCTTGGATCTTTCGTGAGAAACACCGCCCCAGGTTTCAGGTTTGTTCGGAGCCGATAAAAACCAAAATCTCTTTAGGAAAGGACATGAAACAGAGATATGAAGTAGAGTCAAACATAGCAGTTAAATGATAAATCATTCATGGGACAGTTTGCTTCCTTGGTGATTCAATGTCAATCAATACTGGTTTCGTATTTTGTTAAAAAATAGCAATAATTTCTAAACCGTTTCTTTTTCTATTTTGGGGCCAGATGTCTAATCACGGAAAAGGGCGTTTTTTCGAAATTTTCTCACAGATGCTATGAGCTTAAGTCATTTTATTTCTAAAGGAAAGGTTTTAGTGGCTTGGATTCGTTCAATATTCTTTGGTAAAATGATATTTATCTAAGTATTTACTTTCCAGTGTTGTAAGTAGCATATAAGGTATTGCGTGTGACGCGCATGTCATCTCAAAGTAATTCGCTTGATTTATGATTTTACTTGGCCCGAAACCTGTCTCTACGTGGGAGTAGACTAAAAGTCTCCCATGCATGTATGCTTTTCATATTATTCTGGCGTAACTCGCCGTGAAAAAACTGCCTGTGAAGCACGATAAGTGGATCTTTTGAAAATTACCGAAGTGAAAAACATGACCATTTTCTAACAAGGTGTAAAAAGAGGCGCGTGCATTCAACAGCTTTCGAACGGTTGTTTATGGAATGGAAGGTGTCAGGAGACACGTCTTCTTAACAGGTAATTCTTCATCTACACACATTTCCATGATGACTGCTTCGGCTAATTATACAGTTAGTTGTCGTGGTAATTATCTTCGGTGGTAAACCGTGGCCTAAGACACTTCTGTTGGATAATAGAGTGTCGGTAAAATCTTCTAATTTAATTATTTTTCCGATCACTTAATGTTCCTTTAAGATTTATAGTGATATACAAATTGTTCTGGAGAGATGTTCAATTTGATGGACTAGGCTTGATATAGCAACCCAGTGGGTCTTTGTTTCTTCAACTGTCTTTGTCTAAAAGCCCCATTGTTAATCCAGCCTAAGACTATGGATGAGAACTCACCTCATTGTCTTTCAGCAGCCCATATACTCCCATTCTTTCAACTTAACCCTCAAACCTTTGCATCGTAGAGGCTTCAAAATTGATTTGTTTAACATTATTTGAAAGCATACTAGCTGGTCATAAACGAGATCGAAAGAGCAACTTTGTCGGTTGCAACTGGATGAAACTTTACACGTATTCTAAGATTCGTGTATTTTGTATTATTCGTACTCCACGTCTCGGTCCGATTTTACTTCTTAATAATTTTTCTATCAAGATCAGGTAGAGAGCAACTCTATTGGGTAGACGAACGTTTCATATTTTTCGCTAATAATATCATGCATGTCCTGAAGACACGCTCCATATGTGGGAACTGTATGTTTAAGTTGGATTAAAATGAAATATCTTTATTGGAATGAAACAGAAATGAAAGGATGGTATTAGACTTCAATCTTAGACTGACCGTTATAAATTCTCATCAAGAAAACTGCAAACAATAAATACATCTTGAGTATCTGTCAAAACATGTAAATTTTGAGGATTGTGCTGAAAACAACATCCCGTGATAACAATACATTCTTTCTGTGATAATTGTTAGAAAGCATCATCAAGAGGGTTTTCCGCTTAAGTCGAACAGCTGATGAAAAAAAGAAAAAAAAAACATTTTTGTAAACCTTTCAGAAAATCGTCAGAGAAAGTTTTAGTTATGCATGAACAGTTACGCAGAGAAATC